TCACGCTGTAAATTTTGGCGCGTGGAAGAGAGAGCGGAGTGTAGGACTCGTATCTACCTGTGTATGAGGCAGATTTTTCCTTCTTCGGCTCGTTGGCCGAAGATTGTTCCGAGGCCTTGGCCTTTCCCTTTGTCCTCTAGCCTTGGCCTTCAGACAAGGGTGTTTGTTTTTGCTTCCTTCCCTCAGATTGAGGTTGGGTTTTTGTTTTGTTCCACTCTTCAGCTCGGATGAACTTATCCGAAGCATTCAACGCCTCCTCCAAGGTCTTGGGTGAATTCATGACCATGAAGTCGAAGAACTACCCTGCTCTGAGGCCGTGCTGAAGGGCGAAAACTGCTAGCCCTTGGTCCAGCTGAGAAATGCTGGATGACTCGTTGCTGAAACGGGTCAGATAATCTCGGAGGCTTTCAGCCTCCCCTTGCTGCAGACCCATGAGTTCTGCAGTGGTCTTCTCTCGGCGATTTGCCGTGGAGAACTTGCTCCTAAATTTGGAGAACAGATCGTCCCACCCTGTTATAGAGCCTTGCTTCACTCCCTTGGAGATCCACGCTTGCGCGACCCCCTTGAGAGTGGTTGGAAAATATTTGCACCAAGTCGCTTCGGACCTGGGGCAAAGATGCATATGAGCCTCATACGAGGCAATGTGATCCTTCGGATCCGAAGTCCCATCATATGTGATGTGCGACGGTATTTTATGGGAACGTGCTCTTCCAGTATCCATTGCTCGAATGGGGAACTGGTGGGTAGCATAACGGCCTTGCCTTTGTTCCTGGCCGAAGGGACCGCGCTCCGCCCTCTTAGAGAGGTAGGAGTGGTTTTCGTCCCTGGCTGGGAAGTCTGGGCCTCGGCTACAGGGAACGAGAGGCGGCTGTGCACGCTCGGCTCCCTGCCGCCGAGTCGGTCGAGTACGCTTCGGCGAACAGTCTCAGGTTGCTCTCGGCGAGCAGATTCTGGCCGAGAAGCTGAGCTGCTGCTCTTATGCGTTTTTGGTTGAGAGGTTGAGGATCCTCTGAAAAATTGAGGGTTCTTTTTCCTCTCTCTTTCAGTTCTCCAGGTATCCTCTTCCCACTTTTCCAGTTCCCGGAAGGAGGGAGGTTTCCCACCATCATGGTCTAGCTTCCTCCGCTGATGCCGGGTATGCGGAGGAGTTCGATCGCGAGGTGGAGATATATTTTGTGCCCTCATTGCCTCCATGAGCACTGCCAGCGCTCTCGCCACCTCCTCCGAGCTGGGCCTCGTCAAAGGGGTCCTCGGCTGAGTGTGGGAATGAGAGCGGATGGTCGATGGTTGGCTTTGGGGCACTGAATGAGTCCTATGATCGGACTGGCCTCTGTTAGACCGAGAGGGACTCGGCCTATGATGAGAGTTGTGAATTACGGGAGAAAGGGAATCCTCCCTGTATGATCCTCCCCCCGAACTAGCACGCTTGGGAGAGTTCCGGTCCGGTGAGGGTGATGGTGTAGGAGTTTTAGGCCTTTCGCCCGCTCCTTGACGGAGGCTTTTGCTCTTGCGGTTCTTAGCCATTGCTACTAAGATGATTGCAAGATGATTTTGATTAAAGATTTGGCTTAAAGATTTTTGAAAGTCTTCCCCACAGACGGCGCCAAATTGTTTCGGATGAAAACAATGGGACCTTGCCGAAGGTCCGATGAAGTGGTGAAGACTGGATTCGGTCCAAGTGATGTTGGGCCGAAGGTTTCCTGCACAGCAAACACACGTAAACTAGCCTCGGGGGTGTTGCCGAGGAAGGTCCCTCCGATGCTAAAGTCAGTACAGTGTGTAGAGAGAGAAAACTATGCAAGAGAATTAATTGCTTGAGGCTTTGTGTATTCCATGTACAAATGTAATATTGATGGCTTTTATACCTTTGCATATATGGAGAATGTGGGCCTTGGCCCAATTGACTTGCCTTGTGGACTGATCTTGACTTTAGCACAATTGGAGAGTTGAACATTGACCTTGGGCTTTTAATTGGATCATTTAATGACTAGGCCCAATTGGACTAAATTGGACCCAAACAATTATCATCCATTATAGGGTTGGGGATATGGTTGGCTAATTAACAACTTATCTTTTTAACAACGCTAGTTAATTCACCCCATTATTGAGTATTGACCTTGCTTAAACTTGGTAAAAACGATTGAGATTGTTAACATGTAATCAAAACTTTAAGCTAAGCCTTCATCAGATTTTGAATTAAACATAATTAGTCTTTAAAACAACAAGCTTGCTCGAATGCTCGGTTTCACAGTATATCTATAACATTGTAAAGGTCAAAAGTCTATAAACTTTAAATTTGACAATTAATCGAATCATAATATACTCGTTTACATGTAGATTTAAAAAATAGTTATGAATACTAACAATATTGAATGAGTGTAACAATATCTTGTAATTATTGATAGATCTCTTTTCCATAGATTGATAGATATATAGATAATAGATAATTTACAATAATTATCACATAATCTACTTGATATATGATGGAACAATTGAACAAATAACAAGATCATACCACAATCACAAGAAAAACACTAATGTACTGTTTTATAATCCATATATATTAAATTATTTCGTAGTTCATACAATTAAATATCATGATGAATTAATTGGTAGTTAATCTACAATAGTCTATTAGTCTTTATTTGATATTTTACTCACTCCATAGAAAATATTACTCCATACAAATGAAAAATATTTTAGATCATTGGACGATTATTCTTCCTTAGAAGGTGTGGGAGGATTAGCACCTCCTCCGAATCCAGGGTTAGGCAACAAAGGTGGCAATGGAACACCCCCTCCACCACCACCACCAATAGGTGGTAAAGGCAACAAAGGCGGTAGTGTAATACCTCCTCCACCACCACCAATAGGTGGTATTGGCAACAAAGGTGGTAATGGAACACCCCCTCCACCACCTCCAATAGGCGGTATAGGCAACAAAGGCGGTAATGGAACACCACCTTCGTCTTTGCCACCACCTCCAGCAATAGTAGATTCCTTTGGAATGGATCTGCCACCATATCCAATCCCAAATGAGAGTGTCATGCATAGAATTAGGGTTATATATTTGAATCCTAAGATCTTTGAAGAATAACTTTTTGCCATGGTTGGTTTAAGTTGTGTTGTGTTTGTTTTGGTTGATTTGTGTTATATGTTAAAAAGAGTAAAATTGTAAGGCATTATATAGTGGTATGTACGTACTAGTTGTTGGAGGAGGGCGTTATATATGCTTATAACTCCTTAGGAGTAATGTAAGTATATGTTTTGAACGGTGGATACAAAATTTAATAGCACTTAATTTGTTTTTGAAAGTCAATATATAGCTTAATAATGCTAATTAATTTGCCATAAGTTATTTTTATGGTGTAATTTACTCCGTAACATAAAGTGCACCATCAAATCATCAATTTTTATGTTGAATTTGCTTAGCAAGCCATACTCACTCATTATACGACGTTTAATGAAGGAGAATGTTATAAGCAAGAATAATCAAGCTACGCACAAGTAGTAATTCTTAACGGGAAAGATCATAGTTCATACTCCGTACAAACTAATTTAGAGTTACCATTAATATCCCAACTAGCTACTAAAAGAGCTACGGTATTTCTTGCACGTTAAACATGAGATAACATAAAACTATCAAACAAAGGGATCATTCACTAATGTAGTAAAAATTAGACAAATACAAGTAACAATTTATAGATATTATCATTCACTAACATGCCATATTAAAAACCAACTTAGTAACCAACTAACCAAGCACACATACATAAAATAAACTACTACTCCGTCGTAGTTGATCAATTAATTAATCTCACGAATTCTCTGTTATCCTACGCCTCGTAACCTCCTCAATCCACTTCCTCGCGAGTTCCAGTAACCAGGGTGCTACGACCCTCCCAGCAGCTGCAATAGCTGGGCCGACAATCGGTATTTGCTGCACTAACTCTGTTACCAGAGTAAGTCCAGATGATCCGAGTATAAACCACCAGAAACTCATTTTTCGAACTATTTATCAGTATTTTCTACTACTTGAAACTTTTTGGATTATATTTTGGTAAGACGTAGAAAATGCATGCATATATATAGAGTGAAAATGTGCAGGTTTTTATTTTTTTACTTTTTTTATGCATGGTAAACTCTTGAGTTTCTAAAGATAACACAGTACAATTAATAATGGACCAACTACCACTGTTCCTAGGAAGTTGATTTTTTTTTTATTGCTGCTCGACGTTTACTCTAATCTAAACCCGAAAAATAAAATTGGAGCTTTTGAATAATTAATAAAATTAAATTAGTGTAATTCCTAACAAGGTTTGGATTAGTACAATTGTACAAATACAACTAATTATACTATTACCGAGTGTACGAATAATACAAATGGACTTATTGATTAGTTGATTGTGTTTTTGAAAATACAAAGTTTAAGTTTTGAGTAGCTTATTATATGTGCTTAGTTGTTTGGTTATTTAGGATGAAAAATGAAATATTGGTACGAAATGCTTGGGTCATTTGTTGTTTCATTTGTTTGGTTAACTAGAAAATTTTAGAAGGAATAATGATTTGTAGCGTTCCAAGGAAATTGAAATTCTCACATAACAACTTATAAGTGATGTTATTTATCGGACCCTTAATTATTCACCATCTAGATCCAATGAAATGTAAATTCTCTAACATCAACTAGCTAGATACGTAAAACTTTTTTTGTTAAAAATTAAGTATCTAACCAAAAAAAAATGCTTCTTATTGAAATTAAAATTTTAGCTTGTTGAAATATGTACAATTAATTCTCAATGCAACTTAAAAAAGCAATGTCGTGAACTCGTGATGGTCGAAAAAAATCAATAATACTCACTCTATCCAATTTCCACCCACTTCCATTTTTGGAATCCTAAACCGAAACTAGAGTCACAAACTCTAAGGTCCAAATTTGTGCATAATCTGTTTCCAATTACCCTCTCCATTCCTATTTAATTGACACAATTCTATTTTATTGAATACGTACTTAAATTCATACACCATCCGTCTCATATATAACTGACACTAGTTTACTTACAACTATTATGAAGTTACGCAAGATTCTAATCCATAAAATCTTTTTATTATGAAGTTATGAGATATTCTAATCCAATAGAATCTTTCTCCTTTTTAAAAAAAAAAAAATCATACTACGTCATCGTAGCTATTCTAATTTCTAAATCATGACACGGTTTATATATCACGACCCAAAGCCAAAATAATTTATTCCCTCATAAAAATTTCCAAATAACCCAACCCGAATCTAATTAAACACAACCCAACCCAAACCGAACTATATTGTGATCCAACCCGAATTGACGCTTCTTCTTGCGTGCCTTTCGGTTAGATTTGATTTATGCTTTACAAACACAAAATCAAACCCAGAAAACAAAATCATTTTCAGAAGAAAACGAGAGAGAATAATGCTGAGAAGAAAACCAACAAAAATCGAAGTAAAATTAGAAGATAAAGAAGAACTCCAACAACTCCAATCACGCTTCACCACGCCTTCTTCCACCTCCGACACCACCTCCTCCGCCGCCGCAACAACCACCACCACCACCACTCTTCTGCAACACTTCGATCGATCTTCCTCCAAACCACAACGAATCGGCCTCTCTTCCCCTTAACAATGGAGGTCGAAGTCAAGCTCAGACTCCCTCATTCCGCCGCACACCAATCTCTCTCCTCCGTCCTTTCGCCGTTTCTCCGGCGAACCCACTTTCAGCACAACGTCTTCTTCGACGGCGCCAATTCCGAGCTTTCTGCGCTTCGTGCTGTTCTTCGATTGAGGTTTTATGGCGAAGATCCCCAAACAGCAGAACGCTGCGTTTCGAGTCTTAAAGCGAAAGCTATTCTTGTTAATGGGGTTAGTAGAGTTGAGGAAGATGAGGAAGATGTTGATCCGTTTGTGGGTCGGGAGATTTGGGCTAACCCGAATCTAATTGGGTTGTCGGATTCTAGGGTTTTGAAGAGGGTGAAGGAGGAATTTGGGGTTAAGGATGAATCTGGGTATGTTTGTTTAGGAGGATTTAAGAATGTAAGAGGGGTTTATGAATGGAAAGGGTTGACATTAGAGTTGGATGAGACACTGTTTGATTTTGGGACTTTGTATGAGATTGAATGTGAGAGTTCTGAGCCTGATAAAGCTAAGGAGATGATTGAAGAGCTCTTGAAGGATAATGGGATTCCTTATTCTTGCTCTAAGATGTCGAAATTCGCCATCTTTCGATCCGGGGAACTTCCATTGTGAGTGGTGTTGGATTTCATTGCTCTGCTGATACTTTGTTTAATGCTATTTGTATGCTTGGCTTTATGATATGGTCTTTTGTTAAGTGTAATTCTACTTTGATATTGATTATATGATTGAGATATTTCATGAATTGAACTTGAACCGCTTATGTATTGTATTTGCTTTGGTCTAATGGTATGTTAATTACATTGTTTGATGATTGCTCAGCTCTGTTTTCGCAAATGATAATTGATAATTGTTAAGTGCTTGGTAATTTGGTTGATTCTTCTAGTTCTTTACATATGATGAACCTCATCTTATCGGCTGCTAGAGGCTATGCTCTTTATTGCATTTATGCCTTTAGAAATAGTAGTGTCTGAATGATGAAAGACGATATAAAAAATGTACAAATATTTTGTGCTATCACAATTTAGATCTTGGAATGGCAGTTTTAAGTTGAGTGGAATCTTTTTCAATGCTTAATTATTGGGATTGATGGTGTAATATTGTTGCTAGATGCTGTTGAGGCATGATTGTATGCCTTGGATGCACAAGAATGCTATCACGTTCTAACGATTATTATACATATTTTGTGATGTTGTGTGCTTGCTCAGAGATTGTTTTGTCTATTGGTAGATACAATTCTGATTATGTTTTGGTAGCCATAGAGTAAAGTGTTCATATATTAGCCTTTTTTTTTTTCTTCAATCTAGGATTGGAAAGATGAGTTTAGGGAATAGCAAGTTAGCAACAAAGACTAGGTCTTTTTTTGGTAGAAATATTAGTGGCTAATGGGTTAAAGATTGGCCTGAATTGCCTTTACAACTCTTCACGACCAATGGAACATAACTTCGTATATATATGACACACCATAGCTAAAACAAACTCATTCTTAGTCTCTTAGAATTTTATAGATTTATTAATAATTAGTAGACTTAATATAGTTCCAAATAACCGGCCTTACGTGAGTAGTGTGACATCCCTCCTCGTTCACTTTTTAAGTGATCCTTTAAAATTAGGAAAAAATACCTTCATTAATATGAAGTTTATCTCGTCCGTCAAAAATAATCTTTAATTTGAATTATTCTCCATCACTCCCAACTTTAGGGTATTAATTAATAATTGAAAATGAGTACAAATTAATAATTGAAAGATTTCCCTTTAGAATAGGAATAATAGACAAATTATATACTTCCTCCGTTCTTTTTTACTTGATCCGCTTTGACTTTTACACTATTCATCACATCTCCTTTGACTGTTTTTTGTGAATGATATGTAAGAAAAAATATATTCATATGATATCTTTTTTAATTTGTCTCAATAAGTACTATCGTAATATACAACTTTTATAATTTTTACTTATGAAAAATTAAAGTTATTGATCACTAAAGTTTTGCATTGGCAAGCGTGATAAAAGAAACAGGTCAAGTAAAAAAAAACAGAGGAAGTATAGATTTTTTTTTTATTATTTTATTTTATTTTTTATTTTTTGACAACAAACTAAGGAACAACACTAAGTAGTAAAACTAATTAAATCTACCCTACATCTATTAGCAATGTCATTGAAAGGAATGGTGTCCTTCGAACAAGTGTATTATTTTGATAGCGGGTTCAGAATTATTAGAAAGCTAATATATTCAGTAAGGTCAAGTGATCAGAATGTCTGGGTGGAGGCCGCTTCCGATCAGTAATATTAATATAATTAGTATTACAGCTTAATCTTGACTGAACCCTTCGGGTCACACACAAGCAAAATATACGAACCGACTCGACGAATTAATTCGGAAGAAATTAATTCGTCGCCCGAGTGTTAAATATTTAGACGTCGGTAATTCGAGCTTGGAGCGTCGAAACCGAGCGTCGGAAGTCGAGTCAAAAATAATAAAAAGACGAGACGCGCAAAATAATAATAAATCGACCATATTCCCAAAATACCCCTAGCATCGGAGTGCCCCGAGCATCCGAATGCTAGGGGCAAAAATGTCCAAGCATAGGTGGCTAGCAAGCGCTCCAAGCCGAGCCTAGCATGGCTGGCTAGGTGCGTGCTAGCGCACCATGCTAGGAGCCACAAGCTAGCAGCAGCTAGGCATGCTAGCAGCGCATGCTAGCATCGCAAGCCTAGCAGCGCACGCACAAGCAGCAGCCCGCACCAAGCGTGCGAGGTTTGCGCGCACAGCAGCAGCCCGCATCTTGGTGCGGGGCTGGGCCTCGTGGCTGGGCCATAGGGCCGATCATATAGGGGAAGCTTTAGGAATATGGAAGTAAGTGGGTGAGGGACATGTGGCACAAGGAGAGTATTGAGTGGGGAGCAAGTATGGTCCCCTACTCTCCATGTGGTCCTCACCAAACCATTTCACATGGTAATGTCACTTGTAGATTTATTATTAGTTTGCAATTTTAATTTAATTTAGCTTTAAATTAATTTGTGGAATTTCATGATCCCACATTGATGGGATAGAAATTCCCACTCATACTTTCCTCTATAAATACCAACCTTGGGATTTGGAGTAAAGTGCTTGAGTGGGAGTTAGAAAGAGCATTCCTTATTTTGGGAAAAACTCTTAAACTCCATTAACTCCAAGGTAGCGGACCTAAAAAGTCGTGTTCGTCCTTTGTGGGTGGATACCGTTGGAGGCACGGCATTTGCGGTGCTCAAGGCTTTCAAGTAAGAGCCCGTTTTGAGAGGGCGAAGCTCGCTTCAAGGGTATGATTCGTTCTTCCTTTTCTTGTATTTATTTATTTACTTTATGGTTTTATTAATTACGAGTGGTTCCTTGGGTCGGGGTTGTTTCCCCGGTGAGTCGGACTCACCAAACCCCAACAGTCATGTGCTTTAGCAACTTGGTCTCGGCCAACTTTCCACATGATGCATGTGATAAACAACCCTCCTTCTTGTAACAAATCTTGTATTGTCCATAACAACCGTATTTCCCTCCTTTTTGGATGTTGGATTAATTGAACAATGGCAAGTGAGTCAGTGAACAAGACAATTCGTTCGTGACCTTTCAGTTTTGCCCACTTTAGAGCAGCTACACAAGCTAAAAGTTCTGCATGAAGAGAAGAGACTGTTTTTCCATAATTACCACCACCTTCCATATATGTTTGATTGTCCACTGAGTATGCCCATCCCGTGCCTGCATTTCCACTTCTCTTGTTTCAAGAGCCATCCACCATAATGGTCACCTCTAATCTAGCGTCTATTGAATGATTAATATCCTCCCTCTCGCAGCCAATGTTTACTCTCTCAAAATCAAGTGGTGCACCATTTGACATTGTTTCCTTTACCCTAAGAGCATCACTGCCATCCACCCTGTGCTAGACAGATAAGCTTCGCATTGCCATATTGTAATTTCTGAACAGATCCGCAAGGTACCCTCCTTCATTACTAAAGACCCTTCCATTCCTAGTTAGCCAAAGACTCCAAAGAACCCCAATGAACGTCCCTATTCGTTCACTCTTCTTTCCATCCTCGCTATGAAAAAGCAGGATATGATTCTGAATCCAGTGTCTCAAAGGAGTAGATTCATCAATTTCAGAGGAAATACGCAAAGGGCAATTATGCCAAGCATACATCACAAAAGAACACATCCTAAAGATGTTGAAGATCCTCTTGTTCCATACCACAAGAGTCACAGTAATCCTCTATATTTATACCCTATTGGGCTAAGTTTGACTTAACCGCCAAGCCATTCATCACTAGCTTCCACAAGAACAAACTCCATTTTGGCGGTATATTAAGCTTCCACATGAGGCTATAAAAGGTATAGTCGGAACAATCATCCTGCTGCAAGGAAAAATCACTTAGTAGAAAAGCATAACCTGTCTTAACAGTGTACATCCCGGAGGCATGGTGCCTCCAATAAAGCACATCCTTCTCCTCGGTAGAAGGCAGCTCCATCTCCAATATCTTCTGTGTCGTACTCCATTTAAACCTGTCCCTAATAATTGCCACATTCCAAGATCTAGTTTTCTGGGAGATCAAATCTTTCACTCTCCCCGAACCAACCCCCCTAAGAAGTTGGTTAGACTTGAACACCGGAGTCGAACCTTGGACCCATCTCATATTTGCAACCTTCACCCTCTCACCATTCCCTATCTTCCATTGATAACCTTTAACCATTTTATTCGCCACATTAAACAAACCACGCCTGCCCAAGAAGCATTACCACGGAGACTTGTCCTTGCATTCCCCGTACAGAGAGCAAGTGTGAATTGGCTCTAGGGACCTAGCCACTAACAACTAGGGGGTTACAATGCATGCAAGTCACCTGTTTGAACAAAAGAGCATCGTTTAAGCAGATTATGGACCTAATACCTAGGCCTCCCATACCCTTTGGCCTCTGAATAATCTTCCGTTTTACCCAGTGCATACGCTTTTCTCCCCTATTCCCCCACCAAAAACGAGCAATTAGGGAATCAATCCTGTTGGTAATCGATGTCGGCAACTTGAAACATTTCGTCACATGTGAAGAAATACTGATGAGAACAATGTTTATCAAAATTAGTTTTGCCGATTGTGACAAGTTCAGAGCTGCTCAATAAAGGATTCTAGGGCAAATAATATATAGATTTGTAGATAAAATAATGATTTTTCAAAAAAAAAAATGTAGAGTTTGTTAGAAGGGAAAAAAATCTCACTTTAGAATAGAATATAGATAGATCATTGGTATAGATTTGTAGATAATTAATGATTTTCTGAAGAAAAAAAAAATGGCAGACTCATCTTCATTAAACACTGAAATTCCCCCAACATACTAAGAGATATTAAGTTTATGGGTTGTTCATCCATACCCATTTTTTATTTTTGTTTGTAACTGTATGAATGTAATTATTCAAGAACGTGCGCGTACTACTCTTATTGTACATGTATTGAATCTCGTTCCCAAATTGTATGGCATGATAATGGTGTTTTTGAAGAGCGTAAGAATTATACCGTTAATATTGAGTTGTTAATACTTAATTCACTCATGACATTAAATTCTTTGCGGATTTCACAAATGCTAAAACAAAAATGTGCTTCTTGAATACATGTACAAATGCTAAAACAAAAATGTGCTTCTTGAATACATTAAATTCTTTGCGGATTTCACAAATGCTAAACCAAATATTTATTTAATGTCTAGAATATAATTTTTTTTAGTGAAGGATTTTATTTTTATTTTAATGTTATTAATTTTATTTTACTATGCAAATGTGCAACCACTTCATGTATTTAATTGTGAAAAAA